TTATTTGCAGCTACGCAAAAAATCTTCATTGTCTGGTCATGCGAAATCTATAGACACAGTTGAATTACCTGTTTTTCTCCCTTTTATTGAAAATTTGGCAGCTATTCATTGGTTTCATTAACACCTCAGTCATTATGCTGTTGTATCAAAACTATTTCATAACTGAGGCCCAAGGTATGCCCCCCAGGAATTTGTCCTTGAACAGTTTCTGAGATATATATATCTAATGAATGACAAAGGCATTCAGTCACTTAAAAGGTTAAGGTACAGAAATTCAGATGGGGAAATGTGTTATCTTAGCACAATGATTTGTACATTATTTGAGAACTTTTACATCCTGTTTGTATTCTCGGAGGTCAAAGGACGGTGAAATCTGACAAATGCTACTTACTCTAATCCATTCTGAACATCTAACTTCAAAATTATTTGACCGTGAAATCGAGACGCTGATATGGAGGTACCTTTTAACCCTTTGCGACACGCATATTTAAAATATATTTTAATCTTTAAAAAAATGCCTTAGAATAAGTCAGATGGACTTACTTAAGTGCCTTTAAGGCTTGAAAAAAATTCTGCGCTTTTATTTTTTACGGTGGAAGGTGGGATACCATTTGTCCCACCATGCAACTAGCACGTCTTATAGCATATTGGTGTATAGCAGGAAAAAAAAAATCATATGTGGAATGAATAAACAAAATAAAGCGTGCATTCTAAAATATTCATAATAAACACACTAAAATGCATTTTGTACTTATTGCATATATGCATGACTTGTAAAATTTTGCATATGCACATTTAGTATATATATTTAATATTTTTTAAATTTTAGGAACAAAAGAAAAATATTTTCTTGAATATTATTTTAAGATTAAAATTTGATACTCGTACATATGATACTAAATAAAATATTAAAATTGGCACTTGATTCAAAAACCTTTATATATGATTAAAATTGAAAAAAAAAATCATTTTTCATGAAACTTTGAAAAACATGTTGTTTCATTCTTTTGTAAGCATAGAGGCACTTCACATGTTTCACACATCCAAAATGTTTCGTCGTTCTTCTTTCGATATGCTGCAATATGCACAGCTTCTCCTGATCGTTCTCTTTGGCGTTTTACTTACATTTTTTAGTCTTCTTTTCTGGTTGTACGAACGGGTTTTTAGTTTTTATTTGAACTGGGGATTTCAGTTTTCTTTTCAGCTCTTTCTTGCCTGCAAGTGCCATTAGACCTTCTATAACTGAGAGAAGAAAATCTTTCATTGTTTTTACATCATGATCAGGTTCGCGAACAAACTTGAATAAATGTGTTTACTATACTCGCATCTAAAAAGTAAAAAAAAATCATGTGCCACCATTTCTTGCTTTTGCGGTCTATTTCATATAGTCTGTCAGTTGATCAATCAGTCGACATATCCCATATTCTTATTGTATGGAATAATGCTGTTTGGGCACAGTACTTTTTTTTTTTTTTTTTTTGTCTTTCCATCTCGCTCTTTTCTATTAATTTCTTTCATTTCAGTTGCCTTTTCCAAGCAAGACAGGATAGAAACGGATCTTTTATCCTTCCATTTTATGCAATATATTGAATCATCGCTAACTGAAAAGTCTATATATTCTCTTGACATAAATTTGTCTTTTAACTCTTTCGCATCGAGAGACGACCAAATCTGTTTTCAACAAACATCGAAAACGCCCGTGTTTACGAATTTGTCTTGGAATAGTTTTCCTTTTCCCCTTTTGCGGTTTCATCCATTCATCCATTGTGCGCAGTTTCACCTTAGGGCCGGATTGCACCTGCGAACGTCAATAGCTTTCCGTACTTCTCCTTTATTTGCTTCAAAAGAATGATTGACATGTCTTTTAACAACTCGCGAAACCAATGAGCCATACACTAACGTGAAGGGGAAAGAACTAGGTAGAAAATAAACGAGGCGTTAGGGCGGTTTGCCGTTGCCTGAATGAACGGGCGCTACAAGCGATTTCGATGCGAAAGAGTTAAAATTTGGGTAGATACTTCCGATCCATATTTACAGTGCCACATGCAAAGATGGGTCTGTGTCTTTAAAAAGCGAAACAAATTATAACTACTTCCCTTTCTTCTTCAGCAATAACTTCAACCTCAGTTATTCTCTTCTGGATTTCAATTTCATCTGAATCAGAACTGACATCTGAAGCATTTGAGTCGCAATCGGATGGCAATTCAGCAAAAAGATCCAAAGCTTCCCGAGTGTTAATTTTTTTCTAGACATTTTAGCACATCAGAGCATACAACGGATGTAAAAGCGCGCACAATCACGAAAAAAGTAGATGCGAAAAAGAAAAGAAAAAATAATCGTAAGTGCTGCCATCTATTGAGCGGAAATTCAAGAGTGTGGTGGGACAAATTTTAACCCACTTATTTCAACTGCAAAATTAATGTTATAAAATAATTAATCCAATTAAGATTTTTGAAAATAAAATACCTTTGAATATTAAAAAAAATCATACATATAAATTGTATACCAAAATTTTTAAAATATGGAAAAATGCGAGATACATGGATATCACTCTTGTGATCCTATTTTGAATATTTTTTGCTTATAAACTTAAGCCCTGGTATAGTAGTAACATATACTGAGAAAAATAATAACTAAAATAGATTATTTTTAAAAGATTAGAAAATTTCTAACGGAAATTGCTGAGAAAATAAATATTAATTAGGTGGGACATATATTGACCCACCATGCCGCAAAGGGTTAAAAGAACAGTACATCAGGAATCTAATGGCTAGAGATGATTTTTAAAACTGCTTGACTAGTTTTAGTGTATTTATGATTTCCAGGTTTCAGACGGAAATTGTAAAACTACTGTTGTTTCTTTGACACAAAATTTATATTTATGTTCTTTGATTTTATCTGAATAACAGTACAATCAGAGTAAACTTCCATGTGTGACGGTCACTTCAGCATAAACAGATATATATGGAAATAAAGACAGAACTGTTAAGAATGAACCGATAAAAAAATGTAAGAAAAAGTGCTTGTACATGTATACAAGTATGTGGGAATTTATATTTGTATATGGAAATGTATACATATCCATGTAATATGTATGTCTGCACTGATATAATATGGTACAAGCGCAGATATGCACATAAAGCTGAAAGCATGCGTACTGTTAAACGGGAATACCGTATATACAGACATGTACACACACAGGCACACATACGCATTTATATATATATATATATATGTGTGTGTGTGTGTGTGTTTGCATGTGGATTTATGCATATGTGTATAAACATACAGATATATGTATGTGTATATATTTCATCATCAAGTTCTTGAAGTTTTCATATTTCTTCTTCAGTCAGACCTCTTTTCCTTTTCGGCATATGGCTAGAAAAATGTCAAAATAATTCCTTAAAAACTTATGAAAACATGCAATATTCTAAAGCAACGCAAGGTTCCGTTTACAATTTACAAACGCAGTTATCGCAAATTCTGTAGCTACAAGAACTGAAAAGGAAAAACCGGATTCTTAACACTAAGACCTTTGAAAGAGATAAGTGGTTAAAACCCTAGGGACATCAAATTCGACATTTCACCCCTCTTTCAGTCTGGAAAATGAGGGAAAATAGACATGGCAACTAAAGTGGACAACCCCGTCCACTCTGGTCACTATAATGGTCATCCCGACTTCAAAAGGTTAATTGAATATGGCAAAGCATTTGAGGGTTGGATTGGCATGATTTCATGGAGAATTTTCTAGGATAAATAAGCTGTAGGAGAGCTTGTTCAATCCATTTGATAAATTTGCATCTAATTTTCAAGACCCCCCCCCTTCTTTTCTAGGTTAATTGATCCATTCAAAGGAAAATACATGTTACTGAACTTTGCACATTAGTATAAATAACCTTTAAACCCGATGAACAGTATATTTGTGACAAAGAGAGCTTTCTGACTGCACAACCTATTTTACATTTAGGGAGCTTGTGCTGAATAAGTTTATTCGCTATTTTATGTAATTTCTGGAATATTTTGTAATTATATTTTTGTAAATTTAAATTCTTATTTTTTAAAGATATTTTCTTTATATTCACAAATTTTGTTCAGATATTGGTATATTCTACTTTTCTAAGAAGTGGAACATTTAATTAGATTCTGATACTTTGTTTTCAAAAAAAAATATGAACCCTTTGTTTTAATTAGGTTCTGATACTTCGTTTAAAAAAATTATGAACCCTTTGTTAAAATTTCATAGCTCATTATAGCTTACACTATAAAAAAATTAATCTTGTCAAAATGCAAGCATTTCGAAGGAGATAACTAAATAAATACCTTTGCTAAAGGCTATGTACATTTTAGTCAATGCAACTTCTGTTCCCAAAACACAGAAACTGGTTTAGAAAATGTGGTGTTTACTTTTAGGAAGCCAGAGAGGAATTGAAAGCTATTTCTAATACTTCAGAGATGAGTGAAAGAAATTACGAAGTTCATTTTTATGAATGCAATCAATAATATTGAGACAGTATGTGAAAAAAACAAATTGAGACAGTATGTGAAAAAAACAAAGTGTTGAAAGAGCTGCAGGAACTGACATTAAAAATTATACTATACCAGTTTATGACTATATACCAACCTCAGATGAATCGAGACAAGCGCTGCAAACTATAGAACTTTTAAAATGAAAGATGATCAGAAATGCTACCAACAGTTTTATGAACTTGAAAACAGAACTGAAAGCCTATTGATGAATAATATGATACAAATATGGATAAAACAGTTCTTTGTAAAAGCTTAAAATTTCATCCTGTATGTAATTCTAATTTTTATTAAGGATATTTTTATTTCCAAATACTTTTACTTTAGCATTAATTTTTACTTCATAATTTCAGTATTAATTATTAGATTAATTGTTAGTTACTATTTAACACATTCAATGTTAAAAGTTCAAAGAAATAATCACAAACAGCTTTAGCAATTATTTTATTTAAGTGAACAATTAATAGGTAGTTTTAACGGTTGGACTTTGCAACACGTTCCAGTTCATCTTTTTTCTTAATAGCATAGCTGTTTGATGATCCCTGAAATGAAAATAGGAAGAAATTTTAAATTGTTAAAGGCTAATTAATAAAATAAACAATATGTACAACAGATAATGCATTTTAAGATATCGGGCCCAAATTATATTAAATTATATCTATGTAATTAAAAACATTTTTACTGTATATTAATAATCTGCAAGTTTTTCTTTTTTTTTTCCAGATGAAGCGATAATATTAAAAAAGTTATCTAATATTTCTGTTGCTCCTCTTACTATATTTATGCTTGAACTTGGTTAAATGCAGATTTTTCACATTTGTGAAAATGTTCCATGTATATCAACTAACAGGTGTCATTAGGAAATCATTCAATTCCTCTAAGGTTACAGTTACTTTAGGTTAGCTTTACTTTAGGTAGAAGTTTATCTATCATAACTTACACACTAAAATGATTATCTCCAAATACAGAATAGGCATCAATGCACTCAATGTATCGTGTGAATATTACTGCAAAAAATTCTCTGCGTTTTTTTAAACCTTATAACAGATGAGAGACATCATTAATTTCTCACACAGATGATTAACTACTCAACAATTCATGGACACTTTGAATATTTTCTCCTCCATTAAACTGCTATACTGTTTCTTTCAAATTAATAACGCCAGGTCATTTTCTTCCCTATTTCTCACTTCAGTCACTGCACAATGTTAACTTTCCTCTCTTAATTACAGGTTTCATGGAGAAACTGGTAAAAATTTAGTTTATTCAAAAAAGTTTCAAAAGGATAATTTTAACAAAGAGAGATCATGCCTCATCTTGCGACTAGCTCATTGGATAACAAATAAGAGTGATAATGGAAATAATATTTAAAAACAATAATGAATACAGTCAAAAGTCATTAATCCGGACTCGTCGGGACTTCGGCGATTCCGGATTATAGATCATCGGTTTAAATCTCGTAAGATGGCATGCAGAAATTCTAAAATTAAAAATATGAAACCGTAATTTATGAAATAAAGAACAATTATGATCTAAAGGGTATCAAAATTTACCAAAAAAAAGCTTAATATTTATTTGTTTACTTTATTAAACATTCTTTCAATGTAACTTGTTTAAGTTGCTTCGTTTTATGTGATAATACTTTCTCTTTAATTCTATAAACAGACATAATTTCTTGTTCAGTTACAAAGTTCCGCTGTTCAAGTCCCGTTAATTGCTGTGCCGAGAATACCGACTAACTTGTCAATCGAAATTTTTTTCGTTTTCACTAACCTCTCTGTCACATTCTTCATGTCTTTATCCATTTTTTGGAGCAATTCCACTTTGTTTGTTGACAATCGAAACATACTTTCGTTTTGTAGATCCTTTGGAAGTTCCAGCATCAGAAATTCTATTTGACATAATCAAAATTTCAAGTTTACTTTTATAAAATTGCTCTTACAGTCTGCAAAAAATAATAAGCGGGATCCAATTCGAAGATTAAGGAACAACGCAATCAACAACGCAATAGTCAAGGTCTTACGCGCACGCGTAAAACGCCTGTGCGCATGTGCCAACACGGCGCATGCACAAAAAGTTTTTAGCTTTGAGGTCCGGATTATGGGTGTCCAAATTAACGACTTTTGACTGTATTATAACTATTTTCAGAAGGAAAACAAATCAGGACTATTGGAATATCAGCAACTTTTAATTTTTGTAAAGATGAAATATGTAAAAATTCTCTTCTACACTATGACAGATAATAAAAATGATTTTCATTTAAATGTTTTTATTTAAGAATTTACTATATATAGTGACATTTAGTAGTAGTTTTTTAACTTGTTTTTGAAATTTATTTGGGGGAAAACCTACTAAGAACTGATTTTTTTAGCATACACTTTTAATCGCTTTTAACCTCTGCTTGTTGAAAAAGTTTGCACTTAAATGATGTATTTAAAAATGTTGGAAATGAGTATATGGATAAAAAATATATGGGGCAACAGTATATTTAAATTTTCGGTTGATAACTACAGATTATATTTTCCATGTGTTTTGGCACGAATCAAACTAACTTTTTTATGTAGAAATATCTGATTCTGCTTTATTCCTTACCTAAAATCACTTTCAGTTATCCCTTTGAAGAAATGTGATGTTTTCTTATCTCTTCTGCATCATGCACTCAATAAAGTTTAAATCCAGAAAACATGCCGGAATTTTAAAAACTTGAGGGCAGTCATAAAAAGCCAAATGACAACATTTAGAAGTGTGGGTTTACGATTATTATCCAGACAAAACTTTTAAACATGCTTGCATTCCAAGTTCTTTGATTAATTTTTCAACTTTCCAATTAGAATTTTTTCTATTTTTATAATGATCCGCACGGATACCTATAAGGACAAAATTTTCCTAACCACATGGCAGCAAAAAAGTCCCAATCTACCAGAGCAATGTTTACAGCTCTCAGTTACAGTAAAACACAAGCCCTACGGGCTTCTTTGAAAAACTGATTTTCAGTTTGCAATCTAGGCATACTTCATGATGAATTAGCAATATTCAATGTTTGATTTCAGCTTTAAATAAAATACTTATTGCAGCATTGTTATTACATTCACATTCAGAAACTGAATATTTAAAATAATTCTGATTTCTTTGATGTTCAATTATTTTCCAATTTCACATTTCTTTACATTTTATTCCTTGCATTTCATCAGTAATAACTAAAAATTACATTATTAAATACTGTGATCATAACATAAAACAGAGATAAATGCACGGTTTGTGATCATAACATAAAATAGATTTAAAAAGCTGATGCTTGAGTCCATGTAAAACTGAAAATTTGATGAGAAAATCCAGATATACGCCTTAACTGCAAAAGAAATACTAAGTAAACCAACTGTAAGAGTCAGATATTCAGGAAGTGTATGGTAAAGGAAAATCATTAATTTGAAATTATGAACTGTAAATTAAGAAAGTAAGGAACTCTTTCAGAACCATACTAAAATTTGTAAGGAAGGCCTAATGATTGGGAGGAGGGAATTTAACAAAACGAAATTAATAAAACCTAGCATAAGAGATGTGTCTGGCATTTACAAAGGTGGATACATCATTGCCCCAATTACTACATTAAGTTTGCAAGAAATCTCCAGTATATTAGCCACTTCTGGATAAGAGTATCTCATTATTTTGCCACAAAAATATGATCATATTGGAAGTCTTTAAATCAAGATGTAACGAAAAGCGATGAAATGTAGTTCTCCACACCAACACGAGTGGTTCACACATTATTTTAGTAATTTAAAAAAATAGAATTTTATAAAGTTATAAAATACTTACCCAACATAAAAACTAAAACCATTGCACATGTGTTAAAATTGAAACCAAATGATCAAGATGTAATGTAGTTCTCCACACTAACATGATTGTAATTAACATGAGTGACATTATTTTAGTAATTTAAAAAAACAGAATTTTATAAAGTTATAAAATATTTACCCAACATTAAAACTAAAACCACTGCACATGTGTTAAAATTGAAACCAAATGATTACATACATAGGATATTAAGCATAAAATAAATTTAGTGACTCTTAGAAGCTTATTCAAAGAGCTTTTTTTTTTATCTTTTAACTCTAATTATGCCAATTATAATGAGATATTGTTGTTAAACTATCCACTACAATCCAAAATAGCTAGTAGGTAAGATAAAATGGTGCAAAAGAATTCAGCATGTAAAAGAGCTTTCAAAAGTTTTACTGACTGCTATGCCAAGAGATTAGGAAAGAAAATAAATTCTATCTGAAGGTAACTGGCTGTTTTAATGCCCTGAGTCACTTAACAATTTAATCAGAGAAAGAAAGGACTCCTGATTATATTGATGCATACATAACTATTAAAATTGGATATGCAACTTTTAAAACAACTGTTGCCTGGAATGTCAGTTATTCCTATATTTGTATCCGAAGATATGAAAGTTCCTTAATTGCATTCTGAATGAGGAAAAACTAACGGAAAAAGAAAATATGAGGGACTTTATCATCTGTACTCTCAACTGTTGATTTCCTTTTTTTAAAAAAAGGTTGGAAAGCAGATTTTCATATAATACAAAATAAGCTGGTTTGATGAAAGGCACTTGTTAAAATTGGAGGAAATTCATTACAAAAAAATAATTTCCCCTCTTCTACCAAATAAGGTATATAAAATTACATTTTAAAAGGAAACCAAACTACACAAGAAACAAATTTTCTTGAAAAAATTAATCATGAACTAATACTTGCCTTTGCAGCATTCATTAGCTCATCAGCTAAACATTCTGCTATTGTTTTAATATTTCTGAAAGCTGCTTCCCGTGCACCTGTGCATAACAACCAAATAGCCTGGTTCACACGTCGAAGGGGAGAAACATCAACAGCCTGTCTCCTTACAGTACCAGCTCTTCCTATACGTGTCGAATCTTCCCTTGGCCCACTGTTGATAATGGCATTTACTAACACTTGAAGAGGATTCTGAAATGAATATTAAGTCAATCGTTACACATTAAGCAAATTTTACAAATTTATATCTAAATAATCTATCAGAAACTAACAAATCTTAAAACATTATAATAATATTCACCAAGTTGAAATATGTTATTAATCAAAGCAAACAATTTATCATATTTCACTTTTAAAAGTCGGAAAATAAAAAAAAAGACAAACTTCATAACATAACATAGATACATGCTTTTTTTTTTTTTTTTTTGTGTGTGTGTGTGTGTGTGTGTGTGTGTGTACTTCCTTGTGACTCCATGCTCAGTTACCAAAACTGGCAAATTTAATACCCAAAGTGTAACATGCAAATTTCAAATCACCAAAGATGTATGTGCTGACCACAACCACAAAAAAGTATCCATTTTTATTTTTCAGGAATATGATAGATGAATACTGACAAAAAGTATAAAATATTTTTATTCTGTAAATGCATTTTCTACTCTGAATGTGAGAATGAAAAATGCAATTTTTCAAATAGCTATATGCTGTAATTGGCCCAGATTATTTGAACTTTCATGAATAAATTTTTAGACATTAAAACAGTTCAGCTCCAGAAATTAAGTATTAATTTCTGGATAAATTACAAGGATTAATTTCTGGATAAATTACTCCAGAAATTATTAACTAAGCACACATGCTCATTCTGCAAAGCATTTAATGACTACGAACAGTTAAAACTGTTTAAAACAACACATGGCTACCAACCTTAGAATAAGACAAAGCATTTTAAAAATTACTCCAAGGATAAATTTTAAGTAAAGTCACATTTTTATGTTTATCAGCTAATTTCATACTTGCCAACCTATGACACTCAAAAATCAGAAGATTTTTCACAAAATGACAAAAATATAGTTTTTAATAATGAATTAACTTTAAATAGTTACTAATTCTTAAATGCAAGCAACATAAAAATACCTTACACATAAAAAACATTTTTATTACTTGCATCGTTTAAGAAAACAAAAAGACAATCAGTTTTCGTACAAATTTTATGAATAGTGGCAGATTTTGCTTTTGTATTCGGAAAGTTATGAACAGTAGCAGATTTGTGCTTAGCTAAACTTGCAGTAATCGAAAATGTTTCGTGTGTTGGGCAATTTCTTTTTTTATTTTGAGAGAAATTTGTATCAGCTTTAGCTTATATTTTGCAGTATTTTGAGAACTGCCAGTTGAATTGCTGAATGGTGCAGAAATTACATTATTTTTCTCAAACCTATTTTTAACAATGGAAGTAGTAACTACACCTTTATTTACTTTAGGTATTTTATAACTTTCAATAGAGCCTTTTATCTTAACTCTCGAAGCATTTACTTCTTTAAAAAATGCAAGAAGGTTCCACTGATCGAGGATTCTAGATAAGCATTTCTTTAAAGACAGCGAGCGTGTACACACATATTTCAAAATTTTTCTTATTTCAGTATTATGCAGCTGTTGGAACTGTTTCAATTTTTCCTTCCTTTTAGAACTTCTTTCAAGATAATAATAAATATCAACAATGTGTTCATCCACATTTACTGATAAAGAAGCTGCTCCTTTTTCAGTTGCTAAATTTAAGAGGTCACAGGTGCACCTCATAAATCTGCATATCTGAATTTTCCTTTCTTAGGATGCCTGCAACATCAGTCTTCAAAAAGTTTTAATAATTAGCTGTGCTATATTAAAGCCTCTCGATGTCCTTCTAAAGTGAGGACAGAAAATAAACTGCACTCAATTTCTGAAGACTCTGGATTAAAAAAAGAAACAACAATTGGATACAGTTTTGAATCAGTATTATTGCTTCCATCCATAGAGAGGCAGAATGGAGCTGTTTTAATGCAATCAATAACTGAAGATTTATTTTTCAAATGCATTTCTTTAAGAATTGCGCCTGTTTTGATCGTTGCAATTGAGTATTTCTTACCGATTTCACTATTGGGAAACATTTTTCTAAATAAAGCTGCAGCGTGATCCTATGCATTCAGTGGCAGGTTGTACTCCAGTAAAAAGGCAGATGAGAACATCCGCCCTTCCACCATGCAAAATTAAAAAATCACAACTACAGACGCTACACATTGCAAATTTAATTACATTTCCTTGAGTAAATAATGGAAGGAAAGTTAACTGTGTACTATTTTTGAAACGTACAGGAGTATTTCACCTTTCTCGAATACATACCAAAAGATAATTTCTAAAACTATTTCCCGAAGGCACGTGTACTCACACAACTCAGAACAAGAAAAACGAAATAATTAAAGAACATCCAAATAAGAGCCTTGAGCTTGCTTTGTGCTCATTGGCTAATATATGCCAGATGACACGCAGTGGAGCTCGATGCCCATTGGAGAACGACGTTTCTGGATACGTATGCTCTCACTCACAAAGCAGATATTCTCATCTGATTCGCAAGGTTTTGTTTTAGATATAATCTAGAGAAAATTCAATTGCTTTCAGACGTCTTTCTTTTTCTTTTTTCTTTTTTTTTTGGGTTCATATAACGAAGTATTCAGCCAAGTTCCATAAAAATCGTGAGAAATTTTAAGAATAAGAAAAATCTGGGAGAAATATGTTGTAAATGGGGTTGGCGGGTGAGTGGTCGAAAATCGGGAGAGACTGTAATTACAATTGGCAACTCTGTAATTACAATTGATTTTCCTAACTTTCTAAAAATTTTATATAAAAATTCAACTGGACAGAGAGAACTTTTTCATATATCAATGTGTTTAACATTTTTCCATACACTATGGAGATTATTTTATTTATTGGAGCTGTTTAAGAAGTATCTGAGCACAAAGGGAAGAGAAACAAGGTAAAAAGGTTTCCTACATCCTACTCCATAAATTTTAAATCTCCACAAGGCACTAAATAAAACTCCCTAAGTTTTATATGATGTAATGAATGCATGCATGGAGTACATTTGCTCCTATCCTAGGAAAAGCTTAACATGAGGAATATAAACAATTAATGTGCATAGATTTAGTAATGAACTATTTATTGATTAAAAATAATACAAAAAGTGAAGCTTTCATAAAATTCTTTACAAATCTCTACAATAGGTGAAATAATTCATATCAAATAAAAATTTTTAAAAATAATAATTATGAAATCACTTGGGATACAAGATTTGTTTGCACAACACAATTTACAGGTGTGATTGCAACCTATTTCAAAAAACCTAAAAAATACTGTGCTGTAAAAATACGACATAATCGCATATAATTCTGAATATTGTCATGGAACATTTACATACGTGCATACACATATATATTTTCAAACTATTTCACTACAAAAGCAAACAGTACAACTATGTTTAATTTATTTAAAATCAATTTATGTTTCATATTTTACATCAAGTCACACAGCTGCATTTTTATTTGCTTTCTCAGCAACTTTTAAAATAACTGCTAACTTAAGTTTGCTTTTCCTGTGGGAACTCTGCTGTGTTTACCTTTTTCTTTGCTAATACACGAAAATTATGTAGGATTAGCAAGACATTCTGATGCAGGCAATGACTTTCCAGACAACTGTTCAAAGATTAAGATTTGAACAAGGATTTTTATTTATTGCTTAAGCAGTGCTTTTTTTTTTTTTTTTTGGTGGGAAGCTGCTTGAGACAGTATCTGAAACAGCTCATTAAATGTTACACAGCAAGATGTGGCAATGTTTTCCAATACCTATCATAAAGTATTCTCTTCTTTCTTCATTTGGGTCAATCTCCATAACAAAATCAGATAGTTCCTGTGCTATTTTCACAATTTGTGTATCTTCTTGTATGTTAAAGGCTCTTTATCATCTTGACCGTTGCTGCTTTTGACACTGGCTGGGTGTTATTAGATCATCCACTTCTTTGTCATCTCCAAATCATCATTCTCAACTTCTCCTTCCATATCCAAAAATTCTTTGGCACCAATTGTTTTTGTTATTAGTCCAAAGGGATTTGAATCCCGAAGGACTATTAGTTTCGTTTTGGCATTTTGCGTCGGACGGATAAATGTCGGTTCACTTTTCAAACTGTTGCCATAAAATGTTAAGAGTCCTGCATTATATTTGAAGAAATTAAATAACGAAAATCTGCGTAAATGTACGTATATTTCTCACATTGTCATAAAATAATGATACATAGAGTCATCGAATTTTGAATAACGTAATCCTCCAACGAATATGAGCATGTGGAAGACCAAATTTGAAATTTGAAATTTGTTTTATGATCGATTTCCTATTTTTTAAAATTTTGACGAATTTTTTATTAACAAACTCAAGGATTTCAAAGCGAGCAATGGCAACGTTGTACAGAAAAAACATTTTTATCTCCAGCGCGTGAGTCTCTGTATCGGAAATTCTAAAGATATGCTCGTTTTAAAACTATTTTGCGATATTGCTGTTGCACTGGATCTTATGGTTTAAGTGCGAGGAACATGATATTTAATAAAAAAAGGTAACACGCAAAATGTTAAAAAAACACCCCTTGGGACGTAATTTAAAACCTGAAACATTTCAGATTTTTTTTTTTTAAATAATTTCCTCGGGTTCATTTTCAAGTGACAAATGACTTCTAGTAAGCGATGATTGATGAATTCGCTTCTTCCAATGCAAGTTTAATCATTCCTATGCAGTGTATTATGTTGAATTTCTTCCAAAATGGCATTAGTGTATCGTGCTTTGTTTCACCTATTGCTTGCTTTATTTGCAGTGAGGCAAACATGCTTGACTTTAAAAGGGTTTTTATGAGTTCTTGATCCACTGCTTGGATTAAGAAATTGAAGGAATAAAACCTCTGCATTTGGATGCAATGTCATGAACGCTTCAGTACTGTGTCCTGGAGTATTATTGAAAATTAGAACTTAAAAGCTTAGGTTTTGCTTTTCTAATTTAACTTCTTTCAAACCAGTCATTAAAGAAGACTTGCAATGCAGCCAATGGCATGTAGTATAATGTGTGTAACTAAAATTATACTGAATAAATTAAACGCAAACAAGAAAATATGCATATGCAAAATTACTCCACAAATCCGCATTTAGCAATACTATACTGAAAAGAAAATTTCATTATTTATGCACACAAAACTGATTGGCACAAAAACGCTAATTCAAGTATAAATACATGCATCAAATAATATAATTAAGCTCCAAAAACAATTTTACCTCGTTGGTCATGAGATGAATAATTTCAAAAGCATGCTTCACTATTCTTACGGCCATCAATTTCTTTCCATTGTTACGACCATGCATCATCATGGAATTAGTCAAACGCTCTACAATTGGGCACTGAGCCTTCCTGAACCGTTTCGTGGCATATCTTCCTGCTGAATGAGGTAAATAGCGGGCATACTTTTCTTTCACAGCAATGTAATCCTTTAATTAAAAAATATTCAATAAACATTGGCATAAAAAAAGCAAACAAAAATGAAAATCTAATAAGTATAATTTATTTCATATCAGTATAATATTCTACACTATATAACAGGGTCAGCCAAAATCAGTAAGAGATTATTAGATTATTAGAGAGAGAGAGAGTATTAAGAATTTATGAGTATTCAAAATTTAAGTCAAATTTTCTAGGTAATCCAATTAGATACTGTTTTAATAATAGTAGAATAATTTTTGAATAGGAAGAAATATCAGAAGTATTTTAATAGGGTTCTTTATTTTTAGTTAATATGATTATAAACAGAAGTTAAATTCCTGTGACATAAGATACGTTAAATTCTCTATGATGTCTTATTTTTTTTTTTTTTTCTGAACACTCTTTTTATTCCAAATGAAAACAGAACACTTTCTTCCAATTACAGTTTTTTCTCACCAATTATTAACTGATTTGAATAGGAATTAATTAAAAATAAAAGACATGGCTATCTTTGTAGTAATGTAAAATACTTTACCTCATGCTAAAAATAATTTAAAAAAGTAAGCCTTGACTTTTTTTTTTTACAACTTACATACATGCCTTCAGACAGAATAAAGAAAATTAGAACAGCTTGATGCATGCATGGCAACTGCACTTAAAGAAGCAAAATTATTTTTAAACCAACTTTCCAACCTGCCAGGAATTTTGCATAAAAAGTAATAATTTACTCCCAAATACATAACATGAATGGCACTACATGAAAACATGACCATCATACACACTTTTTCCCCAAAGCAAGGTACAACTATACATAATAGAAACATACGATAAAAAATGAATCTACTAAAATTCTTTTAAACTGCCATTGCACTCAAGATAACGTTTTCTTGAAATTACTGGATGACTGCTGTCTTGTGCTACATTGTTTGTCAGAGCTATAGAAAATGTTATACTAAGTCACATTTTTAAGGTCAGGCACAGAGGCCAGATGGAAATACTTTCAAATAACTTAGTGTTTATACAGTCGAAAGTCTTTAATCCGGACTCGTCGGGACTTCGGCAATTCCAAATTATCGGTTTTTCCGGATTATAGATCATCAGTTTAAATCTGGTAAGATGGCATGCAGAAATTATAAAATTAAAAATATGAAACCATAATTTATGAAATAAAGAGCAATTATGATCTAAAGGGTATCAAAATTTACAAAAAAAAAAGCATAATATTTATTTGTTTACTTTATTAAACATTTCTTTCCACACGCACATGCGTAAAGCATACATTACGCATAGTTGAAATTAGAAAACTGCAACCAGAAACTATTTGATGTATATTCGTGATATTTATAATGACGAGGAATTTGATTTAAATCATATCAAAGACGGAGTACATCGAGATGAAATACCACATTTAGTAAGGAATTAAAAGCCGAATAAAATAAAAACATCTGCCCTGAAAATAAGATAGTGCTGACAGATCAATTCCAGTTTATTGCGTGCCACACTGCATTATGCGTTTACGCAAGCGCAGAAAGTTTGCAGGTTTGATGTCCGGATTATAGATCATTCCGGATTAATGACTTTTGACTGTATTAGGTATGATATAGTGTACTGATATAATTTTATGTGCCAATATATTAACTAATAAATAAGAGTATTTTAACAGTTATATCTGTTATTAAATAATGAAAAATGTAGGCATTTAACAGGGTTCATACACATTTCTGCAAGCGGAAATTAAGGACCATTAATGAAAAAAATTAAGGACCTATGAGCAAATGGGATCTGAATAAATTCAATTAAAAATATTATCTATGTCTGAACTTCACTTTTGGAATGCCATCCTAAAAATAAAATATAGATCCATAAATAAAATGCATTATTAAACATAGCTTAATTAACATTATTATTAATAAGTTTGAGAATAAAACTTTATGAAATTTATCAACTAGTATAAAATATTTTACACTTATAATTGGACATATTTGAAAGAAGATAAGTGACATTTTATTTGTTATTTTTTTATCATTATTATTATTTTATATTTACGTTAATTTTTTTTATTATTATTTTAATGTCTCATTTTGTCCCATACTCACTCAGTTTAGAGGTTTAGTAAACAGTAAACAGATTTTATGTCAAGTGGCATAGGTTAAAGTAAGATCATAATCAGCATGATTCATAACAAAAGACTGGCTGTTGTCACTGCTGCCTAGAGAGAGAGATCTGCTGATCAGAACAAACCTGAAAGGCCTGATGTAGGCACGGTTGGCAAGTTCTGAAAGTTAGCTGGGCTCTGTCTCATGCAGTAGTGTCGTAACTTCGTGTAGTTCCTGGGGTTGTGACTCAGATAATATACTTCAAGGTTCTAATAAGCCAATAAAGCATCAGAGATGATAAGTTATTTTTCATTATTTTAAGTCTCACTACATGCGAAGAATAGGTTTAACATAAATTTTTACATTTTTGTGTCTTATCTTGCGACCAAGGTAAGGATTAATGAAAGGCAATAACTCGCTTTAATAAGCAGAGATAATTTTTAAGGGTAAGCTGTTAGTTATAAGTAATTAAATTAGGTATTAGATAACCTTAGCCATTATGGATTTACATGGCTCCTATTAAATTCTATTTATTTTTTAACAATATTTGTTAAAAAAGCCCTATTAAAATCCAAATCTAATGAAATTTCACAGTTTAAAGTACCAGTAATTTATGACATTATCTTAAAATGATGTTACAATAATTACACATTAAATCCTACAAAACATTTGTTTTCTACAACACTCAACAAAATATTTATGTGTCTTCTTAATTTGAAGTCTTTCTAGACATTTTGGCTAATTTATATCGATTTCCTTCTCTTTAAGCATCTTTTCTAACAATTAGAAATTTGTCTCAATACGCAAAAGAATGTCCTTACTAGTTTCTGTGTGTTTTATCTCCCAACCTGTCAACTTCTCCACAATGTACTTATGAGAATTTATTTGATCTGGGAAAAAGTTAAATAGTCCCAAACCCCCTGACAGCTGTGAAGCAAATTATCGCTGTCTGAAAATCTGGCAAAAGTTTAAATAAGCTTCTTATTTAAAAAGAACTTGGAACATAGAGGCATGTTCTTCTGTAACAAAATCCAGATCACGGTGATGTAATTAAACAAGAGTCAAATTCAAACTAAAAGTATGGACTAGTGGTCAAAGACTATACAACTTAATTTCATTATAAGCTGGCTCAGATAGTCATAACAAACTCAAATGTCAGCAGTGGTATTGCAAAGACAAATAAATACAAATTATCAGAGCTGGCAGGGACTAAGTGGAGGCCAGAAACACTTGTCTTACATTCCAAAAACTGTCTAAGTGATTTGCATTCTGGTGAGGAAATAGAAATTAGAAATTATAGTAAAGGCTGAAATTGTAAACAACTGGGTAACTTACGTAATAATAACTGTACATATCTTTGAAGAATAATTTCCTCTCTTGATGTATTCATTTCCTTTCTTCCACACTTCCTTTTCATTTTAGAATTTTTGGATTTATTTAAAGATTTCTGTTATTCTAAATAAACTGAATGTACTTAGAATGTATAAAAAAAAGCTGCTAATTTTATTTCTTAAGTTATCAACATTCAGAAGAAATATGAAATATATATGATAAGGTCTGGGGTTACAGAACTGATGTGGCATAATTTTTAGAATTTAGTGACACACCGAGCAACAAAATATAGAAATGGCGAAACGTTTAGAATTTAGAACAGGCACTGGAAGCAGAATTTAGAAAGGCAACCAGGCAGCAAAATTTAAGATCCACAGAGACTGCATCAGGTGAGAAAATGCCTAGTGCCAGTCATGTGTATGATGCATTAAGACATATTAGATAAATCTTAAATTGTCAGTTTTCAATTTCTTTATTAGCAAAAAAAAAATCTTTCTATAATGCCTGTCCATATAATAAGATTAGAAGCATTTTTGATATTTTCCATGCTTGTGTTTAGTGAAAAGTACAGAAAATAAAAAAATGTTAAGAAAAAATTCTAGTATCAGAAATAAAACATTCAACTATACTGTTTTCATTGTTCTTCCAGATGTTCTCCAAAAAGTAAGAAATTACGTGTTAATACCATGGAGACATTTGTCACATTTTTCTGGAATCATGGATCTATAAATCTTGCCTTCATATCTTTCTAAACTTTCCAAGCAGCAATGCTTAAAATCCTAAAGAAAAATTACCCCTACCAATTCTGTAACAGCAAAGAGGCAGAAATATTTTGAAAAAAAAAAAAAAAAAAAAAAAAAAAATTTAATTGTGAAAAATTGTAAAATTAATTTTATAAAGAAAACCAGGGCTTAAATTCTAAAATTATGGCTGTGCGGGAGCCCTGTAGAACACCATTAGGAAAGAGAAACAAAAATAAATAAATGACTAACAAAATCATTAATAATTAAAAAATTAAATAATTATTAAAAATAATTTACTAATTATTGATTAAAATAATTAATAGTGTAAGTTATAAACTTAACAAAATATGAAGAGATAAATTAAAATTTAATAGCAATTTTTAATATAATTTTATTTACTAAAAATAAATTTTCATGATGTAATTTACTGAAAATTTGTGAGTAGAATTATGATTTATCCGTAAAACTAAGAAGTACCAGAGAAGGGCTCTCTGGGCTTGGTCACAAATTAAGCTCTGGAGAAAACTGATGCATGTTCTGAGAATTCTGAGACAATTACATGGGAAAAACTCATACCATGAAAAAATTAAAAACACATTCTTAATTAATTACATAGCTATTTTGCTTTTGCTAAGCAATGTTTCATAAATGCTGTTTTACAGCATTATACCTTGCTTATTTTTCACATTCAAAAATATTGTATAAATGGCCAAAATGGAACTTTATAATATGACAACAAAAAATAAAAATGCTTTATTTTAATTTTATTTCTTAAATACAATTCCAAAATATTAGCATTATTTAAATGAAATTTATCAATGTTACAATGTTTTAAAA